TCCCATGCAGCTCCCTCCTAATGTGCCTGGGAATGTGGCACAGGATGCCCCAAGTCACTGGACCACTGAAACCACTTGAGAGACCAGGAAAAAGGTCCTGGATCCTGACTTTGTATTGGCTCAGTTTGGTCATCACAGCCATTGGGGAGTTAACTAGCAAATAGAAGACCTCTCTCTTTCTTTGCCTTTCTTTTTCTCTCTCTTTGTTTCTAACTCTCTCTGCAACTCTTTGATTAAGCTTCATAGAACTGCCTTCCCTCTCTTATTTGCTTTCCTCTAAGGTGTGTTCCAATCTTCACAAATTTGAGGTGAATGCATGCATATAGCAGTACCAAGAGGGAGTTAATGCTCTGAAGTGCCTGATTGTCAACAAGACATCCACTAATGGAAATAATGCATGTGAAAGAAAAGTCAACACAACACTTTCCTTGTGAGAGAGAAAAATGAACTGGGCTGGGCTACCTTCCACGGAGTTCTCACTAATCTAGCCGGGGTATCCAACACATGTACATACAGAGCTGAAGAAAAGTTTAAAGGAAGAGAAAATATACAAATCCAAAAAGGGAATATTTTAATGTGAAAACAAACTTACGTTAAAACAGAGTCAAGAGATCTTCCTGCTTTGCAAACTATTTGGCTTAAAGAACAGCCATATTTAAAATGTGATTCCATTAATTTTAAATCAGTGTACATTCTTCAGACTACCATTTTGTTTACAAGAGTACTGGTATAAATAACAGTACAGTCATCATTATTTTCCCTCTGGCATCTAATAAATAAATGACTGGCATTTATCCCACAGCATGGGATGCAAGATGTGTACATGGATGTTGAATAAAGCTTTATGCACTGATTTAAATTAACTGTGGACAGCCAGGTTTAAGTTTTTAAATATTTTCAAGGCTCTAAGCCATATATTCATTAATTTGCATTCTAGAGTGAAGACTGGTATCTGAATATATGAGAGTAGTTTTCAGCAGAGATTTGTAACAGGATTAATGAGAGCTGTGAACTGGAGTGGTGGTGGGGGAGTGTGAGTTGGGATAATATAAATGCAACATGCTCTGGAACATGCTGATGTGGGCAAATCAAGCTAAACAGCTAGGTCTGGTCCAGTCCCATGCTTTCAGCAAACTATAATTTCTTATAGTGAAGCAGGATTCCCTATGATGTTCACCTACCTAGAAAAGCAGCAGGCAAGACAGTGCCATTGCTTCTTGAAACCATGACACTGATCCCTGTCTTCACAAAGGGCACGGAGAATTCCACCACTTCAGAACGCTCCTCATTGATGTTGTCGAGCCCACTGCCAGGACCGCTTTGTGGTAACCACCTGGAGGTAAGGCATAAAAAGAATGGCACCTTTACATGTTCTTCCCAACACTTCTGACCACAGGCCCCTGTCAGAATGGGAGGCCGGGGTGGAAAGGTGACTTACTTCCCCCTATCACTCCAATCCACATATTGTTGACATTTTTGTCATGCTTCCCTTTGGTCACCAGGTAGAAGTCATAGGTAAACTTGACCGTCCAGGAGAGCTTCTTCAGGATACCAATGCAGAACCCCTTGCAGCATTTCTTAAAGTTCATCCCCTTGTTAGCTGAATTGCTGCAAAGAAAATCCCAAGACCATGGGCTGTTAGTACTGGAAGACTTGTCTAGTCATTAGCTATACTCTTCTACTAGCTTTGCGAAGTTGAAGTTCAAGAAGGGAAGTAACTTTTCCATGGACGCACACTGAGCTTATGGCGGCCAGAGGAGCAAGTGTCTTTAATTATAGCGGTTACTAGCACAATAGCTAATGTTTACTGAGAAGTTACTACACTGCAGTTAGGCACTGCACTAAATGCTTTATACCATTTGCTGGATTGAGCTCCATGATGTTTCTCCAAATTAGGTAGCATTTGTACCTCTACACAACAGGCAAAAGTTACTAACTCTTATTTTTAAACATTTCTAACAAGTTCAACTTCTTTTTTTATTTGACAGATTGAGGTAGGCAGTGAGAGAGAGACAGATAGAAAGGTCTTCCTTCTGTTGGTTCACCCCGCAATGGCCACTATGGCTGGAGCTATGCAGATCCGAAGCCAGGAGCCAGGTGCTTCCTCCTGGTCTCCCATGTAGGTGCAGGGCCCAAGCACTTGGGCCATCCTCCACTGCCTCCCAGGCCACAGCAGAGAGCTGGACTGGAAGAGGAGCAACCGGAACTAGAACTGGCACCCATATGCGATGCCGCTGCTGCAGGGGAAGGATTAACAAAGTGAGCCACGGCACCGGCCCCCACATACAACTTCATTAAACCAGAGTCTAGCAATCTGATCTAAGTTGAGTCATAAAAATTTATTGGAAAATGGAAGAGAAGAAGGTGTGAAATTCTGAAGTAAAGTAAGGTTTTGCCTCATCCTCTAAGTACGGAGGCCTGAAACCAAAGGGAAGAACTGGAAGTGCCTAGATAACTCCTACAATCATGGGGTTCTACCCCATGCCTGAGTCCACAGAATTAACATCTCACACTAGGCCCGACTATCCATGAAGGCTCATTCGTACTATTTTTTCTTCCTAACAACATGGCTTGATGCACAAAAGGTCAAACTTTTCAAGAGTAATATCCAGGACTGGGGGAAAAATCGCCATTAAAACAGAGACCATATTGCCAGCGGAAAGCCTATCTTCTGAGCTGCCAGGGTCAACCTCACTGTTTTCTACCAGGCACCCTGCTATACTCTCCCAACCAGCTCCTAGAAAAGAACACCCACACGAATCAGAAACATCTTGGTAAGGAAGGAAATGATGGTCTTCCCCACTGACAGCAGAAAGTCTTAGACAATGCAGGCAGGAAGACCACAGCCTCTTCAGTGAACAAACTTGCTTACACTGGAACATTCCAGAAGCTCTACCTTCTACTTGAATCACACATGCTACAATGTAGGTGCTCCATCTGTAACCTTACATTTTGAGCACAATCACACACGGGACTATCGTCTAAGCACTAAAATAACGTTTGAAGACACTCAACTTCATAGTAGGAAAGTACATTTCTATCTCTTAGTTTAAAAAAGAGGTTATATAATACTATAAATAATAATCACAGCTATGTAAAAACTAATGAGTTTACGAAATAACTGGATGAAAAAATAATGAGAAGCACAGCTATTTTTAATGGTAGAAAATGATTTTTGCCTTTTCATATTAGGATTTTTCCATCAAATTCTCCAGTTAATATGGACTACATATATCATATATAATTTGTTACACACACATAATCGAGTCAGAGAGGTTTATTTATAGCTACATCCATGAATGTGGACAGACTTGAAAATATAACTGAGTAGCAGAAGTAGGTTGAAAATGCCACCATTTCCCTAGAGCTCTCCTTTATTCCAGAATCACCAACCACCTACCTTCCTCACCACCACAGTCATGCTGCCCTTGAGTTTGCCTCAACCACTCTGCTTCTACAGCCATGATCACCATGTAGACTTTGAGCTCTAGCCTCCAGGGAGATGACCCCAGATCTGGGGTACCACCCTTGTATATATTCCATGTGATAACCACTAGATTCAATACCTAAACTGGTTTTGGAGACTAATATGGGCCTCCAAGACCCCAGAATCTCCCAGAGGCTAGAAAGGGCAGGTTTTTCCCTGGAAAAATCAGTACCAAGTAAATACAGTCATGTTGTCCAACAGGAATTCTTTTTGCAACCAATTAGCCTGGCTCAAAATGCTACATTTAGGAAATTCAATTGCTTTAACCTACGTTAATGTTGGGATTCATGGATTCTAATTTTGTATTGCTCCCACGGAAGTCAAAGGCTTTAATTCCCCTCTATACATAGTAAACTTCTCATGTTCTCAAGCAGAAAAGGCAAAGTCACAAGCTGCCCCCTCCATACAGGAACAACAACAACAAAATTTGAGCTTGTACCTGAGACGCTGTTCACAGTGTTCAGTAAAAGTATCAATTCTTTCATAGGGAGTCATTGATTTTTGGCTCATGTACTTCATAGTCAAGCAAACTGGGATGTGGACATCTGCTTGTTTTCAGCTCTAGGCCTTCTGATTTTCAAAGACTGTAAACTCCTGCTATCAACTATGAAGAAGAGACTACACTCATGGGCCATAATGAAACACACAGGGTGTTGTCCCACAGATGTTATGCTCCTTGCTTTCTTCACGCGGTCAAGCTTGGCTCCCAACACCCACTGAAATCAGAACGGCCCTTGGTAACAAACCTGCAATGTCCCCTCCATCCTCCTCCAGCCCATGACTTCCCTGCACAGTCCCCTCCATCCTCCACCAACCCGTGACTCTCCAGCAGGGATGCAACACTGGCATGCTGTCAGTGGTTCAAACTCCACCTCTACAGCATCAGGAAATCATTCCCAAGCTGTGTCCACCCCAAGTCTGGGAAATACAGAGGAGGGGGGACGTGCCAGGGAGGGAACGGACAGAAAAATGTTTAAAACCAGGATAAGCACCTGGCTCCTGCCTTCGGATCAGAATGGTGCACCGGCTGCAGAGCGCCGGCTGCGGCGGCCATTGGAGGGTGAACCAACGGCAAAGGAAGACCTTTCTCTCTCTCTCTCTCTCTCTCTCTCACTGTCCACTCTGCCTGTCAAAAAAAAAAGAAATCCTTTAAGGAGACTTTAAGGAGAGACTTTTTAGGATGCTGGGGGATGACTGAGCACCATGGGTAAGAACACAGCTGGAGTCAGCCATACCTCTGGATGGCTTCAGCCGTGTTCTGCAACCTGCCCATAACTCAACTGTATCAACTGTAAATGGCAAACGCCCTCACCTCATATGGCTGTGAGAATTTAATGCATGTAAACTTAGTGCATCTCCAGGCAATCATAAACATAAGCCCATTGCTAACACTACAGCTATCACAACAGAGTGTTCTGTGTTATGTTTTGTAGTACAGATGCTGTTGTGATCAGTGACTTGCATTATGTGACAGGCGTGGGCATGTCCAGACCACAGCCTCCCTGGCACTCACTTGATTTTGATGAACTTCCGACACGGCACCGTGTTCCGCACACAGGCCTCAGTCAGCGGGTTGATGTCTTCCACGATGACGAAGGGGGCCTCCTCCAGGGTGACGATGCTCAGGTGGTTGTGATCCAGCTCACAGTCAGAGAAGGACTTGTACCAGGGCCACACCGTGGGCCTTGGGCTCAGGGTCTGGTTCTCCCACTTGCCCACCTGCAACACAAACACAGAGATACACCAGTGCTGCCTTGTGCCTCTGACTTCTGGCAGGGCAAGTCCTTCCCACGGAAGGCGTGGGAGCAGAAATCCATCTGCCGTAAGAGCTGCTAAACATGTGCTCTTGCTCACAGGTTAAGACAAACTGGGCTAATGAGAAAACAGAGTATCAAGTTGCAGTTCCCCCCAGCTCCTCCACAGAGGAACTGCACATGCATGTCTAGGAGTGGCACCAAAGCATGATGTCCTGCCAGAGCTCATTGTCACGGATGTGACGGAAAAAGCGTAGACTTCTGAAAAAATCAGCAAGGTCTATGTCCAGCCCTCCAAAAAGGATGCGGGTGTCCCAGGAAGTGACCTAACTGTTGCACCAAATGCCTGCTCTGAAAAAATTGGTTTTGGTATAAAAAATTTTGACATGGATACCTACATGAGAGGTCTTGAAAAAACTTCATGAAAACGTCTATTATTAAAAAAAACCTACGTTGTGGAATTCAAACATTTTTGCAACAAAATCAAGTTATCTTTGAATTCTATTTTCTAGGAATTCATTGAAGTACCTTCATTGTAACTGAAATACTCTAGGCACACGCTTCATCACTGACAGCTTCGTTTTCCCAGCTGTAAAATGTACACAATACCACCTTCTTCCTAAGAACATCATGAAAAATAAATAAGGCAGTGCTTAGCGTACATCAGGACCTGTCAAAACAGAATCAATTGTGCTCCCTCTGAGCTGCTTGAGCGTCTTGGTGAAAGTGAATTGAAGGCTGTGGGCTGTATTTTTATTTTGACAGGCAGATTTAGACAGTGAGAGAGAGAGACAGAGAGAGAGGTCTTCCTTTTCCCTTGGTTCACCCCCAAGTGGCCACTACAGCTGGCGTGCTGTGGCTGGTGCGCTGCGCCGATCTGAAGCTAGGAGCCAGGTGTTTCCTCCTGGTCTCCCATATGGGTGCAGGGCCCAAGGACTTGGGCCATCCTTCACTACGTTACCGGGATACAACAGGGAGCTGGACTGGAAGAGGAGCAACCGGGACAGAACCAGCACCCCAATCAGGACTAGAACCCTGTGTGCCAGCACTGCAGGCAGAGGATTAGCCTAGTGAGCCATGGTGCCAGCTGGCTGTTTGTTTTAAACCATAATTTTTTTGACAGCTTATTGGCACTGCTCACACACACCGAGAATAAGCTGCCCTGACCAGTGCTGGCTCCTTCCTCCTCCTGCTCCTGTTCCCACACGTGATCACTTGATACCGCAGGTCAGTGCTGTGTTTGTGACAATAAACTCCAGGGAAGCACCTCGTCTGAAAAGCTAAGTGCCAAGTCCATGCTCAGCTGGGGGGCTGTGACCCCTCCCCACCCCTCCAGTAACATCAGCATCACATGAAATGAATGGTGGACAAGCAGGGCACCAGGAGTCTGAATCTGAAGGTGCTTTCCGATTCTGCAGGGTGCTTCTGTTAACTGAGCTACAGTAACTGTGTCATAGCCACAAAACCCGACCTGCCTGGCACACTAGGCTCCTAAATCCCCAAGGCAACATAAACTAAGGCAAACATAAACTAAGGTTGTGCTGCTGGCTGCACAACCTTTGGTGATGTCACTGACCACATTACACAGAGGACTTCACAGCAAAATTCCAGCCAAAGCTGGTCTGGGTCAGATCAGTGCAGCTCCAGCCATTGTAGCCAACTGGGGATTGACCCAGCAGATAGGAGCCCTCTCTCTCTCTCTCTCTTTCTCTCTCTGCCTGTCCTTTTCTCTTTGTGTACCTCTGACTTTCAAAAAATAAATAAATAAATAAATAAATTTTTTTAAGAAAGCTAATATAGAGGGCTGCTATTTGGTGAATTGGTTGCAACATGGCTTGGGACACCCACATCCCATATCAGAATGCTTGGGTTCAATTCCCAGCCCGAGCTCCCAATTCCAGCTTCCTGTCAATGCAGACCTTTGGAGGCAGCAGGTGATGGCTCAAGTACCTGGCAACTGATACCCATGTGGGAGACCTGGATCGAGGTCCCAGATCCTGTATTCACCTAGGTCAAAATCATAGCTCTATGAGGAGTTATTGTATATTCATTCAGTAAACATTATTAAGTGTCCACAGTATAACAAGTACTGGCCTACAAAGATATAATGAGTAAGGTCCCTGGAGTTCATCCTCATCCTCATCAACAACATCTTATTATTGTCATGATCATTATTATCGATACAGAACCTAGAAAGAAAGAGGACTGGTGTAGTGGACCCAACACATATAATTCTAGAAGAAAGAAAATGTTTTCTCTTATCCTGTCTTTGATATTAATTGGTGAAAAACTAACCCTGTGTGTTTGGGCTCAAATTCACCATCTATAATACAGCACAGAAAAGAAAATTGCACTTTTGATGTTGTAAGACTACTTAAAATAATGTATTAAAATTCATGTTATTTTTATAAATTTGAGTTGAATTTTCTGAATTAGCTACTTAAAAATATTTCAGACCAGAGTTACTGTCATCAGTCACTTGTATTCTAATATTTACCTGAATAGGAAAAAAAGTTATAATCACTGTTTAATGCCCTAGGGACTATGATGATGACACATAAACACTCCTAGTCCTCTTCTGTACAAAAAAGAAAAATCTTTGAAAAATTATTGTCCTAACTGGTCTCTAGCATCTTTTTCTTCTCTGCCATCATGAAATTTAAATCCAAATGACAACACCAGTCTGTTAGATGAGAAAGATGACACATGGAACATTTCAGAATTTAACAAGATTATGGATCTTAATTCCCCAAATCTTGCTTTGGGTACTACTTTGACCATCAGATAAAAACTCTCATGAAGACAAGAAATGTAGCTTGCCTGGGACTATACCCACACCCATGTGGATACAGTGTTCCATTCTTTGTGTCAACAAACACTTCCTCTTTGTCCTGACACACATGATCACTGTGTGGCCATCTCCTGACTAGCCTGAGAAACAATGACACAGGCAGCCACATGCCCTATCTCTTAGCTAACTGAGGATGTCATCCCACGCCTGAGGGAAAAACAGCTTCCCCAAGAGCCTGGGGTTGCTGGTAGGAGAAAACATAAAAAGTTGTCCTTTAGTCATTATTCTTTGATTCACAGGTTATTTAGAATGTTGTTTATTGTGTTAACAATGGAAAATTTTCCAGAAATCTTTGTCATTCAATTATAGCTCTCATATATTCCTTGAAGCACTAAGTAAATCCTTATAAATTTATTAAAACTTCCTTTATGACCTAAAGAATTACATCCATATATATTTTCTGAGTGCTTTCAAAACATGTGTGATCTGTTATTGATTTCAGTGTTCTACATATGTGTATTAAGTCAACTAGTTTGTGATGTCTTTAAGACTGTTTCCATACCAACTTTTATCTGCTTGCTCTACTGATTACTGAGATAAGAATAATGAAATCTCCCATTCCAGTTATGGATTTTTTTCAGATAAACCTTGCAGTTCTATCAACTTTTGCTTCAGCATCTTGAAGCTGTGTTACTAGGTCTATAAATACTTAGATTGATGTCTTACTGATGGATCAAAGCATTTATCATCATGAATTGATTTTCTTTATCATTGAAAATATCCCATGATCCTAAAAGTACTCCATGATCTGTGTTGCTAATGTAGGTAGTCCAGTTTTGTAGATGACTAATGTGTATTTCTTTCTCCATATTTCAATTTTCAAGCTATTATATTCAAACTGAATTTCACTTAGGGAGCCTATACTTGGGTCTTGTTTTTTGATTCAATGTTATAATCTCTCTGCCTTGTAATTGAGTTCCTTATACCATTTACATTTAATGTAATTAATGAAATAGCTAAGCTTAAATTAATCTCCTAGTTAGGTGTTTTCTATCTGTTCTATGTTCTATTTTTCCTCTTTATCTGCCTACTTTTGGATCAGTTTCTTTTCCATGATTCCATTTTATTTCTTTTATGGGTTAATTATACCCCCATTTATTTACCTTTAGTGACTTCTTTAGGTTTCATTGTATATATTTTAAATTTATCACATTTATCTTCAAGTGATATTGCACCATGCCAAATGGTGTATTTCCATTTCACTCTCCCTACAGTTGTACTACAGTTGCCACACATTTAACTTTAAAAAGCTATAAACTGTATGCTACATGTTTAGTATTTTTGCTGTAAAAAACTCATTGATCTTTTAAAGTGACTAAACAGTTTAAAAATCTGTATACATGGCCGGCGCCGCGGCTCACTAGGCTAATCCTCCGCCTAGCGGCGCCGGCACACTAGGTTCTAGTCCCGGTCGGGGCGCCGGATTCTGTCCCGGTTGCCCTTCTTCCAGGCCAGCTCTCTGCTGTGGCCAGGGAGTGCAGTGGAGGATGGCCCAGGTGCTTGGGCCCTGCACCCCAGGGGAGACCAGGAAAAGCACCTGGCTACTGGCTCCTGCCATCGGATCAGCGCAGTGTGCCGGCCACAGCGCGCGGGCCCCGGCGGCCATTGGAGGGTGAACCAATGGCAAAGGAAGACCTTTCTCTCTGTCTCTCTCTCTCACTGTCCACTCTGCCTGTCAAAAAAAAAATCTGTATACATTTAACCATGTAGCTTTCAATTCTCATGTTTTCATCTTTTGTGTTGATTCAAATACCCACTTAGTAACATTGTCTTTCTCCCTAAAGGACTTTTTCTATATTTCTGGTAGTGTGGATCTGCTGGCGATGAATTATTTCTGTGATCCTATGTCTAGAATCTTTATTTCACTCTCACACTGGAAACATACGTTCACTGTGCAAAGAATTCTATGCTGACACTCTTTATCTTTCAGTACTTCAAAGAGTTTCTCCGTTCTCTTGTAGCATATGTTGTTTCTAATGATAAAACTACTGTCAATCTTTTCTTTTAAAAGATTTATGCATTTCTTTGAAAGGCAGAGTTGCAGAGATATAGAAGCAGAGAGAGAGGGGGGTCTTCGATCCACTAGTACACCTCCCAAAATTGACACAATGGCTGGAGCTGGGGCAATCCAAAGCCAGGAGCCAGTAATTTTTCTGGGTCTCCCAAGGTGGGGATTTTACCTTAAAACGCTAGAACAGAAAAGTAAATCTTAAGAAAGTGGAAGGAGGAAAAATATACAAACTGATATAAATCCAACAGAATAGAAAATATCACAACAGAAATTCAGTGAGACCAAAATACTATTCTTGAACACTCAGTGACATGGACAAAATGTTTATCCGCAGGAAAAAAGGGAAAAAAGGGAACAGACTCAACTGACTTCACAACAGAAACGACAGAGAAGACACTATTACCTACCTTACCAAAATAATAATCAGAAAACACTATGGAAAAGCCAAGGCACAAGGATTTGGTCAATGTCGATACAGTGTGGACTGATTGTCAGAAAGACACAAACCACTAAAACTGAATACAGTAAAACAAGAAACCCTAAATACACTCATAATTTGAAAAGAGACTGCAGTAGTGGGAAACAAACACACATGAAGAAAACTCCAGGAACAGACGGCTCCACCGGTGAAAACTCCCATTTAAAGGTTAATTAAAATCCGTTCTTTGCACACCCTTCCAAAAAGGAGATGAAGAGGAAAAACTTTCCTTTTTATTCCATCAGACCAGCGTTATCCCAACATCCAAACAAGCACACATCATAAAGAAAATGGCACACAAATATCCGTCATGAATGTGTCACATGCCTCAATAAAATATTACCAAATGCCATCCGGGAGCACAAACAAAGCTTAGCACACTGTGTGCAACTGAGAGTTACTCCGGGAATGCAAGGATGGCTACCATACCAAAGCAATATATCCCAGAACAGAATCCACATGGGAAAAGCCACAAAGTATCCCGATAGACACAGAAAACCTATTTCACAAAACCTTCATTACTTTTGCGGTATTAAAAAAATAAAATCATCAAATTAAGAACAGATGGTACACCTGGGCCTGACAACGGTCTTTCATAAAAAACCCACAGAATACTAACAGCACACCAAACGCGAGTAACCGGAAACTGTCCTCCTAGACCAGGACACAAACACACATTCTCGCTCTCGTTCCTCCCAACAACACTCTCAGAGGTCTAGAGCAGGGTGGCTGGGCCCTCAAAAAGCAAACAGACGGGAACGTGGGGCAGTTCCGGGAGGAGATGGAGCCACCTCTGCTCTCACACAGCTGCTCGCACCCTGGGGACCCTTCCAGACCGTCTGTACAGCACAACTGAGACTCCACCTGAGCCTTCGGGACCAAGAGCAACAGGCACGCCGGCACCCAATACCCCAGCGGGAAGCCGCAACAGCCACGCGTCACTCACCTCCAAGGGGGCCCGGTCTGCTGGCGGGATAGAGGTCTGCCAAGGCCGTTGCTTCCGGAAGGGGCTGAAGAAGACAACCGCGCCTGGGAAATAGTGCTGCAGCCTCAGTCATGCAGCCTCTCCTGATCCTGGCCTGACCTTGGGGCCGCTGGGTCTCCCTCAGTCTTGGCCAGCAGCGTCGAGCACGGCTCCTCACAGCTTGTGCAGGCTCTTGGGCAGCAGCGGACGCGGTGCTGACTCCCACAAGAACGCTGGCGGGGCAGTCGGGGTATGCATGCGTGCGTGTGCACTTCCGGGTCAAAGTGCAGGACGCAGGCGCAGTCCCCACTGGCCGTCGCCATGGCGCCACGGGACACATCTGCACCCTGCCGCATCCAGCGTCCTTCTGATGCCCCAGGCCCGCTTCAGTCAGCTTCTTCTGCTCCGGGTGTGACTCAGCCAAGGCGGTGCTCGGCCAAAGCTAGAAGCCCAAAGCTCAAACCCGGTCTCCGCATGAGTGGCAGGGACCCATGGAGCGCATTCACAGGAAGCTGGGTCAGAAGAAGAGGAGCCTGAACTCAAACCAGAAACTCCAGTGTGGGATGCAGGCATCCCACTGTGCCGGATGGCTGCAATGTCCATCTGTTAACCAACGTCTCCCTCAACACTCACTCATGTATCCATTTCACACACAGATCTACTTCCATCTGAAAAGGAAAGGGGCAGGGAAAAAAGAAAAAAAAAAAAAAAGAACATTTGGCTTTCTCCAACACACGTTCTCTATGAACACATTCTCTACCCTGCCCCAGACGTTATCTCCCAGGATCTCTGTGGACAGGAGGGCCCTGCAGGGACAGCGATCCCAACAAGGAAATCTCCTCCAGCCACCAGAGTCACCTTCCCTGCCTCTAGCCCCTGCTCCTCTAGCAGCCAGGTTCAGCCCGTTGTGGAAAAACCCCAGCTGTGTGAGTCACTACAGCCATCCCAAGGGGCCTGCGCAAAATCCAGGGTACAGCTGGAAACAGCTGTCATGAGATCAACTGCCACTGGGAGGGATGGCAGAAAAAAAGGATGAATTCATCATTTATTACCACATGAGCCCCTCTGGCCTCAGAAAAGCTGGTTTTCATTTTCTCTCTCCAACAAAAAGAGTCTTTTCCCATCTTACTTAGGATTCTTCTAATGAGCAAAGCAGCACGTGACTCACCATGGAAGACTCCCTCAGACTAGAATCCAATGGGGGACACCACCCCACCCCAGGCATCTCCTGAAACACAGGAGAAATGAAACTCCATCAGGAGAGGAAAGAATTATCAGGAAGAAGCTATAAATGCAGATACCTCTGACTTGAATAAACTCTTAAAGAAAAAAAAAAAAAAACAGCACCAGGAAACATGAGGCAGCTGAGATCCAGCAGAGAGAGGTCCAGGGCAGAGGTTCCTCTCTGGTTCCTACGTGCCCATGACATCAGGAACACTCTGCAATTAAGGAAGACACGCACAGTGTGTTTCTGTGCACAACTAGAAGGCACTCAGCCTCCGGACTTCTAAGTCCTCCTCCCACGGGTCTCCTCACCCATCAACCTGAGAGGTCCTGAAGAAAACAGGGCTGAGGCCTGGTCCAGGTGCGGAACTGACATGAAGAGCAGATGCTTCTCCTCAACAGAAACGTCTGTGTCTGATGGGGATGAGAAGACGGCTCTCCCGGCACTTGGTGCAAAGCAGCCTTGATTTCATGGCTCTGCCAGCAGGAGACACAGGGAAATCGGCACATTCTCCTCGGCTGCATGACACCCAAATGTCCATCAAGTCCCAGGGTCACACCTCAAATGATGCCATCAACACACCCCCGGGTGCTCAGCCATGGGGTCTTTCAGTCAGCTCCAACATTGACACTGAGGCAGCAGTCCTCCCCCCCCCCCTTCAGCTATCCAGCCAACCACACAAGGGAGAGGAGGAACAGCTGCTCGGGACAGGTCTAGAGGTATTTGCTACACTCACCCACCGCCAGGGACAGACACCCCGTTCCTCAGGCAGAGCACTGTGATTCCAAAGAGCTCCACACGCTCCCTCCTCCTGAGTGTCGTATTCTCACAGCAGAAGTATGAAGCAGTTTCTATGACATCCTGCTGCAAGACCTCGAGGCCGCTGTGGAGCCTGTGTGAGCGGGAAGGAAGTGAGGCAGGCAGGGAGTGGAGAGGAAAGTCTGAGGCAGCTTTGGGGCCAGAGGAGAGCTTCCCTTCACCTCTCAGGTTTAAGATTACACAATTAAAGGGAATTTCATTTAAAAAGAATGCAATCATTATTAAAACTTTTCCAGTTGCCTCAGCTGTCATTATTTCTCATTTCTAAGTGTAAAACAAAAATCTAGAATTTTACAATGTATTCTCTTTTTTCACCAGCAAGATATCAAGGTAATACCTTATACCATATTTTTTTTTTTTTGACAGGCAGAGTGGACAGTGAGAGAGAGAGAGAGAGAAAGGTCTTCCTTTGCAGTTGGTTCACCCTCTAATGGCCGCCGCGGCCGGTGCGCTGCTGCCGGCACACCGTGCTGATCCGATGGCAGGAGCCAGGTGTTTCTCCTGGTCTCCCATGGGGTGCAGGGCCCAAGCACTTGGGTAATCCTCCACTACACTCCTGGGCCATAGCGGAGAGCTGGGACAAAATGCAGCGACCCGACCGGGACTAGAACCCGGTGTGCCGGTGCCGCAAGGCGGAGGATTAACCTAGTGAGCCATGGCGGCAGCCACCTTATGCCATATTTTACACCACCAACATTCAGTTAGTTGGGTTCAACTGCTTTACCAGCTCCCCAACTAAGTCAAAGCCAGGGCCCTGTCCCGGGCACCCTAGGCGTGACCCTGCCCCTTGCCCGGCTCCCCAGCTTCAGCAGGCAGGGCGAGGGCCCCACCCTGGGCAACCCAGATGCAACCACGCTCCCCACCCGCATCCCAGCCCCTGCAGGCACCGCGAGATTCCCGCTCTGGGCAACCCAGAGGCAACCCGCACCCTACCCGGGTATCCACGCCTACAGGCAGTGGGAGGGCTCCGCAGGCACAGTGAGGGCAGTTGCAGCAAGGGCCCACCTACCTCCCGGGTCAAAAGCCCCTGCAAGCATGGCGAGGGACCCGCCCTAGGCACCCCGGACGCGAACCCGCCCCCCGCCCGGCAGGTACAGCAAGGGACGCTCAGCACTGGGAGGGCCCCGCCCTAGGCACCTCACACGCGACCATGTATCCCGCCCGGATCCCCCACCCCTGCAGGCAAGGCAAAACCCGTCCTGAGCACCCCAGACTCGACCACCACTCACCTGGGTCCCAAGTCCCTGCAGGAATGGCGAGAGCCCTGCCCTGACCACCCCTGAAGGGACCCCGCCTCCTACCTGCGTCCCCACACCTGCAGGCAGGGCGAAGGCCCCGCTCTGGGCACCCAGACACAACCCCGCCCCCTGCCCAGGACCCTAGCCCCTACAGGCATGGCGAGGACCCTCAGGCACAGCAAGGGCCCTCCCCGGGAATGCCAGACGCGACCACGCCCCCCGCCCAGATCCCAGTCCCTGCAGGCATGGGGAGAGCTCCGCCCTGGGCACCCCAGGAACAACACACCCCCGCCTGGGTCCCAAACCCCTGCAGACCAGGCGAGAGCCCCGCCCTGGCCACCCAAGACGCGACCCCGCCCGGATCCCAAGCCCCTGCAGACACAGCGAGACTCCTGCCCTGGGCACCCAAGACGTGACCCCGCCCTGCCCGCCCGCCCAGGTTCCCAGCCCCTGTGGCACAGCCAGGGCCCCGCCCTGGGCACCTCAGACGCGACCACGCCCACCTCCCGGATCCCCAGCCCCTGCAGGCACTGTGAGAGCCCCGCCCTGGGCACCCTACACTCGGCCCCAGCACCCACCTGGGTCCCAAGCCCTAGCACACTGGCCCGAGAGGCCTGTCCTGGGCACCCCAGACGTGACCCCGCCCCCTGCCCGGGCCCCCACACCTGCAGGCAGGGCGAGGGCCCCGCAGGCAAAGCAAGGGCAGGCGCAGTAGTCCCGGCCCTGGGACCCCAGATGATACCTACCCCCAGTCCGGATCTCCAGCCCCTGCAGGCACAGCGAGAGCACCGCGTTGTTCACCCTACACTCGGCCCCAGCACACACCTGCGTCCCAAGCACCAGCATGTTGACTGAGAGGCCTGCCCTGGGCACCCCAGACGGGACCCCGCCCCGTCCGCCGGGGTCCCCAGGCCCTAAGGCACAGGGAGGGACCCACCTTGGGAATCCAAGACATGACCCCGCCCCAGTCCCTGAGGCAAAGCGAGCTCCCTGCCCCGGGCACCCTAGATGCGACCCTGTCCCTTGCCCGGGTCCCCAGCTGCTGCAGGCAGGGCAAGAACCCCGCCTGGGCACCCCAGATGCAACCCGGCTCCCCCGCGCCTGGGGCTCCAGGCCTCGCAAGCACTGTAAGTGCCCTGCAGTGGGCACCACAGTTGGGACCCCACCACCTGCCTGGTTCACAAGCCCCTGCTGGCACCCCATACGAGGCCATGTCCCCCTCCCGGAGCTACAGCCTTTGCAGCACAGGAGGGCCTGCAGCCACAGCGAGGGCCCCGTCCTGAGCAACCCAGATGCAACCAGATGCGACCACGCCCCCTACCCGCATCGGAGCCCCTGCAGGCACAGCGAAATTCCCGCTCTGGGCACCCCAGTGGCGACCCACACTCTACCCCATTCTCCACCCCTGCAGGCAGTCGGAGGGCTCTGCAGGCACAGTGAGGGCAGTTGTAGCAAGGGCCCTACCCTGAAGCACCCCAGATCCGACCACGCCCCTGATCTAATTCCAGCCAATACAGGTACAGGGAGAGCCCCGCCCTGGGCACCCCGGAGATGACCCTGCCACCTGCCCGGGCCACAGCTGCAGGAGGCAGGGCGAGGGCCCCACGGGTAAAGCAAGGGCGGGAGCAGCTGGGTCCCCGCCTGGGCACCCAAGATGTGACCACGCACCCCCCCGGGGTCCCAGCCCCTATAGGCACAGCAAGGGATGCTCAGGCACTGTGATAGCCCTGCCCTGGGCACCTCACACGCAACCACGTCCCCCGTACGGATCCCCCACCCTGCAGGCAAGGCAAAACCCATCCCGAGTACCCCAGACTCGAACACCACTTGCCTGGGTCCCAAGTCCCTGCAGGAATGCAGAGACCCCGCCCTGGCCACCCCTGAAGGGACCCCGCCTCCTACCCGGGTCCCCACACCTGCAGGCAGGGCGAAGGCCCCACCGTGGGCACCCAGATGCAACCCCGCCCCGTTCCCAGGACCCAGTCCCTACAGGCTTGGCCAGGACTCTCAGGTATAGCAAGGGCCCCACCCTGGGCATTCCAGAGGCTATTTCCCCCCCGCCCGGATCTCCAGCCCCTGCAGGCATGCGAGAGCCCCTCCCTGGGCACCCCAGACACTTGCTACCTCCTCCGCCCGAGTGCCAAGCCCCTGCAGGAATGGCGACAGCCTTACCTTGGCCACGACAGATGGGACCCCACCTCCTATGAGGGTCCTGACCCCTACAGGCAGGCTGAAGGCCCAGTACTGGTCACCCCAGACACTACCTCCCCACGACCCAGGTGCCAAGCCCCTGAAAGAATGGTGAGAATACCGCCCTGGCCACCCTAGACGGGATCCCACTTCTTACCCAGGTCCCCAGGCCCTACAGGCATGGTGAGGGACCCTCAGGCACAGCAAGGGATGCGCCCAGGGCATTCCAGACATGACCACGCCTCCCACCCAGATTCCCAGCCTGTGCAGGCACAGAAAGAGCCCTCCTTGGGCACCCCAGATGGGACCCCGCCCCGCCCGCCCAAGTCCCTAGCCCCTAAGTCACAGCTTGGGCCCCACACCCCAGACGCAACCCCGCCGGGATCCACAGCCCCTGCAGGCCCTGTGAGAGCCCTCCCTGGGCACCCCATATGAAACCCGCCCCGTGTCCAGGACCCAGCACCTACAAGCATGGCGAGGAACCCCAGGCATAATGAGGGATCCGCCCTGGGCAGACCTGACCCAGCCCCCTGCCTGGGTCCCCAGCCCCTGCAGTCATGGTGAGGGCATGGAAAGCCATGACATGGTGGCAAAAAACAATCTAAATGAAGGATCCTGGTGAACAACACCCCAGCAGAAGGATCAGGCCATCAAGGAGAGAGGCGCCTTTCTCTGAAGGGAGGAAGGAACCTCCACTGTGATATGGCCTTGACTAAACAAATTCAGAGTTGCTGAACTCAAGGGGCTTCCATAGCCTAGACAGCTCATAGCAAGAGTCTCGGGTGATTGCTGACATCATAAATAAGAGTGCCAATTGTTAAATCAACAACGGGAGTCACTGGGTTCATGCTCCCCACACAGGATCTCTGTCCTTAATATGTTTAACTATGAAACTCAAACACAACACTACTAGTCGAACAATACCCTATACCTGGTTCGGTTGTGTGAGTGCAACCTGTTGAAATCCCTGCTTAGTATATACTAAGTTAATCTTCAACATATGAAGGTAATTGAAAATGAAATGTGAGGACGGGCGGGATGGGAGAGGGAGTGGGTGGGGGGAGGGCCACGGGAGGGAGGGAGGTCAGGGGGGGAAGCCACAACAATACAAAAGATGCATTTTATATTCTACTTAAAACTATTGGTTGAACTCTGTAATTAATACACAATTACTCTTAGGTGTTTAATTAATGCTATAACTAGTACTCAAATAGTATTTTACACTTTGTGTTTCTGTGTGGGAGCAAAATGTGGAAATCTTTACTTAACATACGCTAAATTGATCTTCTGTATATAAAGATAATTGAAAATTAATCATGATGTGAAGGGGAAGGGGAGAGGGAGTGGGAGAGGGGAGCATTGTGGGTGGGAGGGAAGATACGGTGGGGAGGAGGCTATTGTGATCCTTAAGCTGTACTTTGGAAATTTATGCTCATTAAATAAAAAATTAAAAAAAAAGAATATTATGTGATAAATATTGAAAAAAAAAAAAGAAAAACACACAAAGGCAATTATCAAACCTGGATGATTTAAAAGACTCTATGCTTACAAACTCTTGAATTACAAATGCAGTGTGTCAAAAAGACACAAAAGTATACATAATCAGACTTCATAACATCAGGGGAGAAAAAATTAGAAACAGTAA